GTGAGCGATTGTTCAGTACATTATGGCGACTGAAACCTTATCTGAGGGCGACCATGACCAGTGAGCGAGAGTCTGGACTTGCGCTAATGAACATCCATTATGGTAGGCAAATTGACATTGATGCAACAATCGACATTTTTGCGCGGAAGCATCCACGTCGCCTCCTTCTTTCTGATATCCTAGCTGAGGGAACGGTAAATCACAAGTCTACAGCATTTGATGACTGAGTATGTAATATGTTAATCAACTATTATATTATTCATTTTTAATTCTATTACGATCCATCTCTTCAGGAAGCGAGATTTAAAATCTCCTCTTAGAAATGCTGGCTACGTTTGGCTCTGAAATTATTTGAAATTTTGCGCTCAGAATCAAGGAAACGCCACTTCTGAAGACCCAAAATTCAAATATTTTCCGGGGAAGCATGCCCCCGGACCCCCCTAGCAAAGAGCGCCTCCGGCGCTCAATTGTCAATCGGGCAAGCAACATACATTAGGAACCCCTCTATGCAAAACGGCTGGCTACGCCCCTGCAAGTAGAACTACATGGTGTCTGTAACATGTTACATTGCGCGAGTTCTTTCATGGCTTTTATTTATATATACGTACTTTTTATCGTTTTGTTAGCTAGTTAGAATTAACCATAATTTTCGATGGTAAAACACGTGATTTCCCTGTATTTTATTTTCCATCAATCAGAGAAAAAATGATGTTCAGCCTTAATTGGCCTTCCGCCAATTTCAGCCTTAATATTCGTATGAATATTCTTTGGTACTGCAATACTACCGAGAATTCACTAGTTCCTAATCCAAACTAGCTAGCAGACGTCAACTTTTTCAACATGGTCAACATGGCTCTCCTAACACAAGAAGAAAGGAAGGACACCAAACTATGACCTAGAAATGCTAGATCTGTTTCACTCTCCGAAATAATACTGAAGAGTGAATAATCGTCCACAACATTTATTTGAAAAACTAGATCCACGCAACAGTTAAATCACTAAATTTGAATCCTATCCACACGAACTGAAAAATTTCAAGTCAAACCGAGAAATATCCTACTAGCGAGATTGACGGCCTCGTCAACCTGACACCAAAACCTCTACAATACAATCGAAACAGTCCAATATTTACAAGCGCATCTGAGTTACTGCTTAAAAGCGCCAAAAGTTGTGTCAAAGCCTGTTCAAGTTTCCATGTTGGTCAAGAGGTACCACTAAGGACCCTCTGCCTGGTGTACTCCCACACGAGAAGGGCCCCGCTAACGTGCACGTTAAGGGACCTAATGACCCCAACCTGCGGGATCTCAACGCACACGTCCAGCATCTGAATTAGCTCTACGGGTATTCCTTCCTTCTCGTTGCCAAGCAGCAAAAGCGACTTATGCGGGAACTGGTACCGAGTCAAGTTCACGCTATTGGCCGTCTGTTCAACGCCAACCAGCGCGTAACCCTCGTGGCGCATGTTCTCTAGGTAGGATTTCAGCTCGGACATGCGTACCTCTTCAAGGTTCATCCACTTTGCGGCGCTCACGCTAAGCGATTTGAACTGAACATCTTCAATCACGTGCGAATTGCTAAGAACCAATGTCTGAACACCAAAAATTTCGCACGTCCGACACAAACCGCCGAGATTTGGGGCCTTGTCGATGAGCGATGCGACTACGATCAGGTTTCCAGACGAGCTCTTCTGAAGGTTCGCCATTCGCTGCTCTTGCATTTCCGAAATCATTTCTTCATCAGGAGGAATCACTTTCCAGGGCATGATCTTCTTCTGTACGTCGCGGCTCTGTGGTCCACATAGATTTGTTTCGTTTACCGCCTCGCTTGATTGCACCGTGTCTGACCTGTTCAATACTTGGCCCGCTAATCTTCGACTGATTTGTTCTCCAATGCTTTCATCGCAGTTAACATAAACACCGTTTAAAATCTGAGCAAGACGTGTATCCTCGGGGTTGTACAGCGGTAATCCACGGAAGTCAGCCCCAGATGTCTCCCAAACGCGCATACCCAACGATCCCTGGCTCAAAAACTTGGGAGAAATCCACTCTTCGTCTGTAACCCCCGCCAGGCGAGGGAGGGTCTCAAACAGGGTTTGAATGGAAAAATCTCGGAAAGGATGACAATCTAGGAAGAAAACGTCTCCCAAAAGGCGCGTTTTCTGTCGCAAGCCGTCTTTGCTTGTCTCCAGGAAATATACGCACGACTGGATGATGCTGTGATTTGAGATAACGTCATGCAGATTTCGCCGTTGGCAGGTGAGCCACATCTTCTGCAACGCTACTTGAGCGTACGCTTGGACCTGAAGGAGAAGAGAAACAAGGCCGTAACTGCTCTGCTGTTCTCATTTACCTGGACGACAAGTGTAGTTTGTCTTTGGAAGTAAAATGCATTGACATGAAGCTCAAGACTTGAGCCGAGACTGGACTTATAATGACTTGGATCTCGGGGCTTCCCAGAATGCGTTGNGGGGGGGGTGAGCGGGACTGAGCTAGGAGAAATCTGGTAGAGCTGGGGACGGGAAAGCTACTAGATGAAGAAGTCACACGAACAGTATTTTTGTTGTTGTTGTTCATTGAGATTGAAGAGTGGCAACGGAAAGAAAACGGACACAGGACCCAGAATTCTCAAACTCATTAATAATTCATCAAGTTTAAACAAAGGAAATAATGACCGTGACGGTGTTTGGATATTTGATCTAAATTAGCAGAGATTTTTAAGATTTTATTTCTTCGTTTTCTCTTTAGTTTTAGTTGCGACTGAGAAAATATATCAAACAGTCAAGACAGTGTTTAACCACATTACCAAACACCTCGAGGTTCATCGAAAATACTCCGCTACACGTCGCACTTGTGAGTTTGGAGATGTGGTCAAGAACGGTCTGTCTTGTTTGATATATTACTAGCACACCCCCTCCCGTCACTCCTACTGGTAAAATCGGCATCACGTCAAAAGGCCAAATTCCGCTCGAGATTTTACCACTGTATTTCCACCCCCTGGATGACATGCTCATCTATCTCAGTGTTGTCCCCAACAACAAAATTGACTTGTTCTCATTAATACGCCTTGGTGGAAAAAGGCATTGTGAGAATAAAGTGTTTTCCTCAGGAAAACAAAGCAATGATCGCGCACAGGCCTTGAACTCGGACCGCGTGATTCAGAGTCCAGCACCCTCACCATTACTTTTAGGCCAACGCGTTTTCTGCGTCACTCCTATTGAATGCAGTTAAATGCAAAATTCATCTAAGTTAAAAAGAAGGGAAGCTAGCATTCGCAGGAGGTCAGCAGTCCTTGGACGTTCGCGCAGGTGCAGAGTACTGCATTGTAGTAGCGTGTTCGAACGTGGAGGATTTCCGTGGAGCTTCGGGTTATTTTGTTCTCGATTTTTCTACCCCCACTCCCCTTTTCCACTGTTATTTCAGTGTGATGGGGGCCTGGATGACTGCATGTGGGGGCTCATGGCTAAGGCATGCGAGCGTTTCACTGTCCAGGAGCCCCCAGACATCCTGAGCACCCATCTTCCATACAGCTTGATGCAGTTGTTAATCAACATTTAAACAACAACTTATCACACATAGCCTACCGTAACATGCGGGGTCAACACCCAGGGAAGGATGACGGGAAAAGCCTGCTGGAAGTAGGCAGCCTGGGAATGAGGATCCGAGAACGAGAACTCTCCGACTAGCGCAGCGACTGTGATGAGTGACAACACGCTACCAGCGCGCCTGTCTGGGTCGTAAATGAGCTGTTGCCATAGTAACGGCTCCAGGCTTGGATACCTGAATGAACACAATTGCAGAACATATTTTAGTTAACCTCCAAAAAACACACATTGCCCATATTTTTTCTCAACATACCTTTCCTTGGGCTTAGTTTTGGAGGTCGAGAGGGCTTAGTTGCTATTTTCGTAATTTTTTGCATGTAAAATGCTCGGATGTGTTTTCGAAAGGCAAAAAGATGTTACTTTTGTCACGTTGCCGAGTTTGTTTCCGGTTCTTTACATTTCGTTGACAAAGCAGACTACTATTTAGCGTTATCCTTTCTCTGAACAACTAGGGCTAGCATAATAAGAAAGGTAATTTGCATTTTTTGACTAAAGACGACAGAATTGATCGTACAATTGAACCGCGCAATTTCTAACTCACAGGGGAAAAGAAAAACATTTTGAAATAGCAGGAGTTCAAAATAGTCGATAATAAATGACCGGAGGGTAAATCCAAGGGAAACGGTTTTAATTTCGAGATTAACGGTTTCGAATTAGCGGGTTCTAACTGAATAATTATGTGTTCATCCATTGCGTGGCTAATGCAGTAAACGTTTATTGCCTACTTGGGTAGTCCTCTCCCGGTTCTTATCTCAGAGACATATGTTAGCTCAGGCCTATAGGCAGCTGCACGCAGACGTTTCTGTTTTTAAGCCAGAAAAGTAACGACTGGATGTTAAACGAGATGTTTTCGGACAACCTCGACCAGAGGGCTCACTCTCCTGTTTCCTTTGTCGTTGAGGATAGAGACTCTGATTGTGCCGCAGCAATAATCAAGACGCTCTGCCACTCCTCCCATCCAACATATTTTTTTGCCACCTAGATTCTGGATGGTCGCGTGACCAGCCGCAACCAAGGTCCTTCTCCCTAACGACAAGGGAGACAAAGGAGGGAGAGGCTGAGATCGAAGCTGGTTTGCGGACAGGTTGCAGTGCGTCATGTTTACCTACCTTCCTAAAATGAGCACCATTGCCCACTGGAGGAAGTTCCTGACCGACACTTGATTTTCACTAACACTGGCGCGAAAGGTCTCTTCCAAGACTTCACCCGCAAACATCACTTCGGTGTCAGCCTTGAACAACTGAGAGAGCGCCACGAGGATCGCTTGCCACACTCGATGCTTTCTTCTGTGCGAATACGAGTTGATAGACGAACGCGGTTTTTCTTCTGTCAGCTCGTCAAGTTTAGTGATGAATACGCGGACGACACGTTTCATAAGTCTCGCGTCACGCTCGTTTTCTGGATTTAACGTCAGTAGCATGTTAATCGCGTTCACTCGCACACGCGTGTAATCGCGCAGTTCGTCCATGTACAAGGGGTTAATCTCGCGTTTCTCGCCAAGCATACGAATATACTCAAGCACATAATACGTAACACGTATTGTCTTCTTTACTCTGGGGCCAAAAACGCAAGCTTCGGTCAGGAAATCTAAGTGAACTTCTAAGCTTCGTTTACGATCTTCTTCGCTGACTTCATGAGCTGGATTTGGATCACTATTTTGGCAGTTCGCCCAAAATTCACAGCACGGTCCAATCACGTGATTCACAATTCCTGGACGATCTTCTCCCAGAGTCAACAACTCGCCCCAGTACTTGCGCACTATTGCAGTCATGGGGTGTTCCTCGGGCAGAACCAGAAGACAAGGATTAAAAAGCACTTTTGTCATCTCTCTCAAAGTTCCCCAGAACCAGATATGATCGCCCTTTTGCCGGTCTTGAAATGTCCACCACACAGATTCAAGAGCCTGTGAGCACAGCACGTCATCTGTCAGCAACATTCGTGGGGTTAACAGGCGCACACATCTAATTACAGGTACCACCGAAAGGCCAGAACCCAAAGAGAGAGCTTCGAGAGCCGCGTCAGGGAGGGTTGCCAAAAAGGGCTCCAATTTGTCTCTCTGCTGTCTGCCCCCACTATCGGAGTACTCGTGCTCAAGCAGAAATTCGACACATCGCCACTGAGCTTCGATGAAGTCAGAAACCAGTCTTCCCCAACCTTTCTTCACTAACATGCTTGTCTCTGCTGAAGTATCTTCACGAGCCTCGCCTTGATACAGAAACCTGGGTTTTGGGAACTCGGAACTCAGATCAAATTCGGCCACCGTTTGTGACAGAGCCTGCACAAGGTGGATGGTGTGAAGGTTTGGTTTGGCTCTTAAAGCTGTGGAACACCAGGCGAGACACTTCATGGCCAACACAAAAGAACGCCAGTCGCTCAGAGTCAACTTCTGTCTGTCTGACTGCTTGTCCAGGACTACTGTACGGCTTCTTTGTACGAGATTTTCAATAAACTGGAAATACACCTCCAAACCATGAACGGAGTTCACAGTAACGGCCATAAACATGAACAGCTCTCCAGCGAGGTCAAGGAAAGCAGAGCTTCTGTCCACTGGAGAGAAGGTCGAAGGCGTAGTGCTGAGCTTCCTCAAAAGTAGCTCAAGAATGTCTGCGCCACTGGTCTTCAACAGCTCTTCCATGATTCCCATGCTGTTATCGATGCTCTGCGTTGCTGTGGCGATGCCATCTGATTTTTCATTCGAGTTTCCTTGAGAGGCCGTCGTGCTATTCATGTGGCGTAAGACGCCCGAAAGAATCCTGGCGGCTCTCTCTGTTCTACCTTCTGAGGCGTAGACATGTCCTGCAGCATGTTGAAGAACCTCCACAGTTTGTCGAAATAAGCCCTCTGTGAGCTGCCTACTCTCTGAGTTCTTTGAAAATTTGAGAGAAGAATCGCATGCGATGACGACTAACCTTACAACAGATTCCACTTCTGGGTCACCGGTTGATAACTCTAGTGAACCATCGTTAAGAAATACCTCCACGCATGCCCTGAGGTGCTCAAACAGCTCTGAGAAGCCCTTTTCAGCTAGACTCAAACCGGCTTTACCAGAATCTTCTTGGCCGACGGTGCCGTGAATCTGCCACACCCATTGAACTGTTGCTTCCCATAAAGCATTTCCTCGACATAAGTAATCATCCTCCGAGAGAAGAGAGAGGAAATGTCCAATGTTACTCCACGCCACGCGCCTGGGGTCTGTCAAATTGATAACCGCCTTCAGAAGAAAGCTCTGAATAGCAACTGACAAGTGCGG